AGGAGGGGCTGGGGGCCTGGACTCCTGGGTCTGAGGGAGGAGGGGCTGGGGGCCTGGACTCCTGGGTCTGAGGGAGGAGGGGCTGGGGGCCTGGATTCCTGGGTCTGAGGGAGGAGGGGTTGGGGGGCTCAACTGCAAGGTCTGAGAGAGGAGGACATGGGGGTTGGACTTCTGGATAAGATACTGTAAATTCATACAATGGGTCATTATTTGATAAAAAAAAAAAAGAAGAATGAAATGCTGGCAATTGTGACAACCTAGATGAGCGACAAAAGTATCATTCTGAGTGAAAGAAGCCAGACGCAGAAGACTGCCTGACATAAGATTCCAGTTATATGACATGGTTCTAGGAAAGGCAAGCCTGTAGTGAAAGAAGGAGATCCATGGTTGCCAGGGGCAGAAGGGAAGGAGCAAGTGATTGCCAGAAAGGGAAGTTCTTTGGGTTTTGTAAATCGTCTCTCTTGTAATCTTACTGACAGTTACATGCATGGCTACGTATGTTTGTAACAATGTTATCAGCTTGTTCACTTAAAAATAGTGAATTTTACTGCATGTAATTATCCTGCAATAAAGCGGACTCAAATTTTCTACAAACTGAAAATTTTCTACAGTTTTGTTTTGGAAATCATTTGGCCACAACTAACTCTTGGTTTATGATTCAGTCAGGTTTGTCTACAATCAACAGACATGTTTGAGAATTCTTATGAGATGAGAAATATCTGCCTGATAAATTATTTCCAGGTGCCCCAAGAGGTTTTTGAATATTGGATTGAATAACAAATTAGATGTGATGTTTTATAGACATAGAATGAAATGTATTCACTTTGGGTCTGCAGCTTTTGCAGTTTGGAGCTAATTTTTTTTTCTCTTGGAGAGATGTTGCTTGTTTCCATACTGCTGTGAAAACTGTGAGTTCTGTGTGCCCTCCCAGACACAGAGTACCCAAAGGGAACACAACAGCACTGGGTCCAGGATCTGTGATTGGAGTCTCAGCCTAGGAGTAAGGAAAAGGTTCCCAGAGGAAAGGAAACATAAATAGGGTTTTGAAGGATGAGTAAGAGTTCTTCAAGTGGGACAAGTGGAGAGAGACAACTAGACAGGCGTAACAGCATATTCAAAGGCTAGGAGTCATGAGGCAAGTTGCTTGGGGAGTGACACATATTTGGGATGGTAGGAGGCTTGATTTGGGAGGCGGCTGGCAAGAGATGTGGCTAAAGGGAATTTTTTTTTTTTTTTAAGATTTCATTTATTTATTTGACAGAGAGAGACACAGCAAGAGAGGGAACACAAGCGGGGGAATGGGAGAAGGAGAAGCAGGCTTCCCGTGGAACAGGGTGCCCAATGCAGGGCTCGATCCTGGGACCCTGGGATCATGACCTGAGCCGAAGGCAGATGCTTAATTAATGTGCTTAATGCCAGGCGCCCATAAAGGGAAATTTTAAAAGAAAAAATAAGCAATAATACCAGCTGCTATTTATTGAGTACCTAGTATGTGCCAAGTATTTAATCTACACAACAAACTGAAGAATAGGTTTGCTGTGCAGGAGGTAGCAAAGGTGGTTGGGTTTGGCAAGAGGCCTCTCCTCTTTCTGAGATTGTAGGAATTCAGGGCTTCTGGGCTATGGAGGGAGTAAGGCCTGGGAAAGGGGAAGGTGCCATGGAGCCTGTGGTAAAGAACCCCAGATAGACCTACACACATCTTGTTTCAAATTCCTGTTCCACCTCTTAAATGTGTGCCTTGAGCAATGACTAACCTTCTCTCAATTTCTGGTTCCTCTTACCCACCAAATGGCAAAGAGGTAGTATCCTTAATACGTAAAGAGTTCTTACAAATCTCTAACAAGGAGAGGGGAGAATAGGCAAATGGTATGATGTGCAATTTACAAAGAAGTAAAGTCAACACACACATGAAACTACTCAGCCTTACTAGGAATCAAAGAAATGCTCATTAGGGTAATTATGAGATGATATTTTTTGCCTATCAGATTGGCAAGGTCGAAACAATGCTAACATCCAGTGTTGGCAAGGATGTGGTAACATGGGTACTCAATACCTGCTGGTGGAAGTATTAGTACAGCCTCCTAAAAGGCCATTCAGCAATTCATGGCAAAACCATTTGTGCATATCTCCGACCAGCCAGCCATTCCCCTTGTAAGAATTTAGGCTAAGAGAGTAGTCATTCATAAAGAAAGATACTTCGGAAAATGTTCCTCAAAATGCCAGAAGCAAATAAAATCAAGATCAATGCCTATCAGTAGAAGAGTAGTCTACTTTCTACGATTCCTACTTCTATACTCCTTTCAACAACTATGTAATGAGCACCTACTGTGTCCCAGACATTGAACTACACGCTGGGAATTTGGCAACAAGACCGAAAAGCTCCCTGCCCTCATGGACCCCCTGATACTGACAACAAAATTAATTTGTCTGTATGTGGTTCCAGACAGACTGTCTACAGCTTTATCAGGCTCAAATGTTTAAGAACATCCATGACTTCCTTCCTTAACTGCCAATACAGGGTGGGGAGAGGGGGGAAGATAGGCTGATTCTCTTGCTCTCTCTCTCTTTTTTTTAAGTTTATATACTAAAGTGCATACTTTAAGAGTTAGAAAAAAACCAATCATATTCTGCATAGGGTCTCTGCCAGGCAAAATAATGGGTAATTTCACTGTTTTTCACTTCTTGTTCATCTGCCTTTTCTCATTGCGTGAAAATGTTATGCCACGTGAAATAAGCCAGAAACAAAAATACAAAGGCCATATGATTCCGCTTGTATGAGGTCCCTTGAGGAGACAAAATCCTAGAGACAGAAAGCAGAATGATGGGTGCCAGAGGCTGGCAGGTGGAGAGAAGTGGGGTGTTAGGGTTTAGTGGGTACAGGATTTCAGTTTTGTAGGATGAAAAGAGTTCTGGACATGGACAGTGGTGACGGTTGCACAACAGTGTGAATGTGCTTAATGCCACTGAGCTGGACACTTAAAAATGGTTAAGATAGTAAATTTTATGTCAAGTGTATTTTACCATAATTAAAAATAAAGAAGGAGGAGAAGGAGATCTGAAGAGGAGGAGGGATATGAGCACTGTGTGTTCAGAGGCTGGTTCTCTCAATTTTTAATAAAACACTTCCTCTCTGAGACTTTTTCTCCTAATATCATCTACCTCAAGGGTAGAGTTTTCTGCAAAGGACAGGATAGTAAATAATTTCATCCTTGCAGGCCATTTGGTCCCTACTGCAACTATTCTGCCATTAATAGCAGGAAAGCTGCCATAGACAAGATGCCCGCAAGTGAGCATAGCTCTGTTCTAATAAAACTTTATTTACAAAAAGAAGCAATGGGTCATAGTTTGCCAGCTCATCATAGAGTCTGGAAGGTTGACATAAAGTCATTCACAAGAAGGACCTCATACACAGTTAAGTGCCAGAACATTGCTGGCTGCTAATGTAGTTATTACACAGGAAACAATGCATGCAAATTCCTTCCTCTGAGGACCTCCCACCTGGCCCAGACACACCCAAAGTGTTTAGAAACTCTCTCCAGGTAGGCTATACATTTTGTTATCATTGTTGATGTTTATGAATTCTTGATAAGCATTGGGTGCTGTCCCAGGTGCTGAGAGACTTCTCCCACCAAGTCCTCCACTTTCCCTATCAGGGGCTTATGGCCCAAAATCATTCTCTGTCTCAATCTCCATCTATCTGTCTGCTGTTTTGAGGAAATACATTTAAAGTTTTTAGGGGTGGGACGCCTGGGTGGCTCAGTCGGTTAAGCATCTGCCTTCGGCTCAGGTCATGATCCCAGGGTCCTGGGATCGAGTCCTGCATCGGGCTCCTTGCTTAGCAGGGAGCCTGCTTCTCCCTCTGCCTGCCACTCCCCCTACTGGTGCTCTCTCTCTCTGACAAATAAATAAATAAAATCT